GCAATCATAAATATTTGCTGGGAATTTTAAATAGAACAGTCATCGATGGCTCATAATAAACACATGAAAATATTTTATCCATAGCTTGTAATCCCAAAACACTTCTCAGGTTTCTCTTGATTGACCCTGAATAAAAGTCTTACTTCAGGTGACCAAAAAAAAAAAAAAAAAAAAAAAAAAGGCCCATTAATGTTGCTCATGCATTTCAACATAAAAATGGAATGGAATCATTGACTACAGGTAGAAATGTGCAAAACTATTCAAGATAAATATGATACTTTGAGGCTACACATCCACTCCACTTTTGTCTGCCAATTTGATTTTTGAATTGGGTACTCATGGATAAAAGGTATGTGATCTGAAAAAATAGTGTGTGTCCTTTAAAAGTCAGTGTCATGTACTGTCATTCCTTTAGGCAAAATTTATGTTACATGGTTCTAGGCTGAGCTAATGTAACATGATGCATTAAAAACCACACATGATGATTGCAATATGTGTCAGAACAATGAATTGTTATATCAGATACCTGTTCAGCTGTAAATAGGACCCTCTGTGAGCCACTGGCAAAAGGACTGTATTCTCTCCTTACCTGTATAGAATTCCGGTCTAAAACATCTAAAACATGCAGTTGTCCAACATCCTTACTCTGTGGCCTGTGGCCATTTAAGTTGCATGTTTAATACCCTCAGACAATGAGAACACAGCATATTATAAAAGCCACAGTTGAAGATATTTCTGTTTTCATAGGAATTTTTCTTCCAAAGATCCAATGGCTATAACTTCCCCTCCCCTCAGTGAAGAGACATACTCATGGAGCTTTAATGGAGTCTAAAGAGAAAGCCCGTTGGGCTGCTAATAATAGAAGTCTCATAAACAATAGCTTAAATGCTTAAGGAGTTGTTTTTCTCAGGTAAGATGACTCGAGATATACAGCTGCTGGTTTTGGTTCAGCAGCTCAGTGATGTCACTCTGAAATGTTTGTTTTCCCCTCACAGATAAAGATGGATGTTTTACTCCAGTTATTCCATCTACTTTCATGAAAGAAGAGGGGAAGGGGCATTCCCTATATTTGTCCCTTTTATCAAGAAATTCAAAGCATTTTTAGCAACCACCTACATATTTCTACCTGTATTTATTTGCCCAGAATTGTGCACCTGGTCACTTCTAGCTGCAAGAGAGGTTGAGAAAGTAAACCATGCAATGGAATCAGGTATGGAAGAGGGTTTGGAGAATTACTACTGGGTAAGCCAGTTAATAGTATCTTCCTTAGATGTCACTAATAATTTATAAATAGAGTATGAGGGAGACCTTAAATAGTGATAAATTATTATGGTAAAAAAATTAATACTGACTTCTATGTCACAGTAGGCATGCCTGCATAATGCTCTCCTCTTAGGATTCACCAGAGACCACACACAGCATCCTTATTCAGCAGATATATCAGCATCGTTGGGCCTACTTGGTCAGATAGCAGGGAAGCTTGCACTGCAGCCTAGTTCTGATGCAGAGCCCATTCTTGCTCTGTGCCCCACTCAAAGCTAGCAGTCTTCTGAATCACTTGATTAATGAGTCATCTCAGTATTCTCCAATGCAAAATATGAACTATTCCACTTATTTGAAAAGTGATTCTGGAGGCCAGAAGTCAGAAATGGACAAATGAAACAGGGAAAGAAGAAAAGCAGATGCAAGCGTGGATTACTGAGTTCGCATTTGCTACAGATGATTGATGTTTGATTCCATGAGACCATCCGAAGAGCCTTATGAAATGTGTCTCAAAACTGCCTGCTGCCTGGAGAATGAAAGGGTGGAACGTTGATCCACAGGCTTCCATCCCCGGCACTATTGGGTTGTGCATACATGTGTACTGAGCAGTTTCCCACGCCTATCTTCTGTCTCAATGGGGCTCATAGCCCAGGTGGTACTCATGGCCCAGAGGGGGCTCATTCAATGTTGGTCAAAGCCTGAGTTTGATTGGCTGACACTGTGGTGGCTCCAGTAAGAGGGAAGGCCAAGAGAATTTGAAAAGATGTACAAGTGGCAGGAAAGGAAGGGGGGATCCTCTGAATCTCTTCAGAAGAGGTATACTTCCTAATGATGAATGAAATATTTCAAGTCTTTCAAGCACCTAGAGGTAATTAGCAGAGACACTTCACAAAAATATACTCTGATCAATAGTACTTCTTTATTTATCTAATCTCTCCAGGGGTGTCTTCTCCAATTGGCCATCAGAGCAGTTGCACATTGGCCCCCCAAATAAGTCTTGTAGCTTGCTGTCTACCTTTAGAGTTCCATCCAGGAGGGTAAAAGCATGACCAGTCTTTTGTTTTCACCAAAATTAGAGATCTATCTCAGTGCCATATTTGACTTTTCTTTAACTCAGCAAATACATACTGTGCACCTACTAGGCACTAAGGCATATCTGAAACTTGGTGCTGGGGAGACAAAGATTAATATAATGTGGTCTCTAATCCTGAGGAGCTTGCAGTCAATTGGGGAAGATTGGCATGAAGGAATGATGAAACTGAGATAGCCTTATAAGTGTAGGGCGAAAACAACTGTATTTATAATTTTGGATGGTGTGGGATATAGTTACAGAGTTTAACTCCTGCTGTGTACAGAACAAGGTGTAGATTAGAGGAGGGAGATTTATGGAAGACAAGATTCTTGCCTTTAAAGAAGCTTATAATCCAACTAGGAGAGTGAGCACACATTTGTGAAGGACTCAATAGTTTTTAAAAGAAAAAATGAAAATTGATATTGGGTGATTCCAAAGTATGGGGGTGGGGTGGGGAGGGAAGCAGTGAACAAGTAGGGAGGTCTGTCATGGTAGATTTTCTCCAGGAGGTGGGATTTGATCTTAGATTTAAAAGAAGGATGTTAGCCCTGCTGATGTGGCTCAGTGGTTGAGCATGGACCTATGAACAAGGAGGTCACTATTAGATTCCTGTCAGGGCACATGCCCAGGTTTTAGGCTTGGTCCCTGGTAGGAGGCATGCAAGAGGTGCTATGCCCAGATTTCAAGATCCCCAAGAACCACCAGGGAGCCGAGTCCGATGTAAAAAACAAAAGAGCCTTTTATTCCATGCTAGCATGGGCTTCCGTCTCTAGCAATCACCAGCGCAATGGCGAGAGAGAGCGAGCCTTGGGAGGAAGGGGCTTTTTATAGGGGGTCCGTTGATTGGTCAGGGGGCAGGATCAGGGGTCTGTCACGCAGGGGCACTGTGCAGTTTGCCTAATTTGGACTGAGTCCACTTCCCTGCACACCTATTGGCAGGTTTGTGTAATTATTACATTCTCGCGGTTTACAGGGAAGAACAGCAGGTACAGAACAAAAGAAACATCATAGAAGGAAGCATTATAAAGGTAACAAAAAGAACTTCATGGAATCAATTTAGTTTCGCTCTATCATTCCCCCCTTGTCATGAGACTTACAGGCCCAATCATGGGTCGGTTGGCACCCCCATCTCTTTTTCCGTTGGTAGAGGCCTATACTGAGTGTGTAGTACCATCATCTGTATGTCCTCTACTTGTTCCTAGAATAGTGATGCTCGGACCTCTAAGTTGGCTGGTTCTGATTGGTGGGGTGAGGGCCAGAGTCCAGTTACGCTGAGTTACTTCCCTCTGTATTTTTATTGGCTGATTTAAGGATGGATTGGGTAATTGATACATTTTATACAAGATGGAAGACACAGTACAAAACGGAGTCAGTCCTGCTCCGCCCTTGAAAGAAGGCCTATGTGCTGGGAAGGGGCCATGAGACCGTATCTCAAGGCCTGGCCTGGTGTCAGCACTGGTAACTCTATCTGGGGCACAGTCCACGGCCTCTCTGGAAGCATGCGCCAACATTCTCACTCTCTCACAGGAGGCAGCTGATCCATGATTCTCTCTCATCATTGGTGTTTCTCTCTCTCTCCCTTCCTCGCTGAAATTAAAAAAAAAATATTTAAAAAAAAATGCTAAGGTTATTGGACTGGCATGGTGGAAGGATGTTTCCAGAGCTAGCTCTGAAAGCCAGAATGAGTAAACCAAGTGTAGGGAAGGGAAAAGACACTAGGTGGATGCCCCACCTTCCTTGGGCAACTCCATCAGGAAGAGGCTGATGCAGAGGGGCACCTCATTTTATGCAACACTTTTTTTAAAAAAAATATAAAATAATGGTAGGAAGTTATTGAACGTCTATATTGTGCCAGGCATTGAGCTTTAATCTTCCTCTCCACGCTGTGAAATGGGCATTATTTCCGTTTCGCCTACAAGGCAACAGGCTCCAGAGGGAGGCTAAGTCGCTACTGAGCCGGACGTCATCTGGTGGAATCCGAATGTCCCTTGGTTTGACCCGCAGGCCCACGCTTTTGTGAGCCACACACATTTTCCTAAATTAAATATTTAAGACACATCCTCGGTGATGATTACTTGAATAAGTCCTATAGTCACTTCCTCTATGAGGCCCTTATTTACAAACACATTTTGCAGGGGTCTGGGGTGGAGGGCAAGCATTTTCTTGACTGCGTGCATGATAGTACATTTTGTTGACCTGTTTGATACCGAAAATATCTTTAATACGACTTTTTAGATCACTCTGCTCATTAGGTGGGTAATCTCGCAATGCAATGTCACAGCCCAACGGGTCCACCGGGGAGATCCTGAAGTTTCCCAGCACAGCCAGGCTGAGAGGACCGGGAAAAGTGTATAGAAACTTGTGTCCACGCTGAAACGAGGGAAGGGCCCTAGAAGGGGTGCTGTGGGGAGGGACGGAGGCAGGCTCCTCTGGGGGAGGACTGAATGGCTGCGGGGCCCAGCGGGCGCAGAGCGGCCGGTCCGATCCCGTCGGATCCGGGTCCCCCCTCCCCCCTCCGGGCGGGGCAGGGGCGCGGGCCGGCGCCCGGGCTCGCGCATGCGCGCGGGGCTGTGGTGACTCCGCCGACGCGACCGCCTCCTCCGTGCGCGCTCGCCGCACGGTTACCCCGACTCTCCGCCCCTCCTTCCCGCGCGCCCGAGGGACCATGGCCGATCCTCGCGTGAGACAGATCAAGATCAAGACCGGCGTGGTGAAGCGGTAAGGAGCCGAAGGGGCGGCCCGGGGGGCCGGGCGGCGCGCAGGCCTCAGGCGGGCGCGGGAGTCCGGGCCTCCCCTGCTCCGCGGGCGGCGGGCCCGGCCGGGCTGGGCCGGGGCGGGGCGGGGCGCGCCGGGGCCGGAGCCCGCGGTCGGGCACGCCCCTCCCGTTGCCCCGGCCCTCGGTTTTCCCCCCGTGAACGGTGAGGGTGGGCGGCAGCCCGGCCTCGGGCGTCGGCGGGCGGGCGGGGCGGGGCGGGGCGGGGCGGGGCGGCGGGCGGGAGGCGGGGTCCGGCTTGAGTGGCACCTCCCCGCGCGCCGCGCTCCACGCCCACCGGCCGCGGGAGGCGGACTGCGGGGCAGTGTGTGTGTGTGGGGGGGGGGGGGGGGGGGGGGGGTACCGCCAGCCGGACCTGAAGTTTGGGGGGCCGCCGAGAGCCCGGCCCTGATAAAAAATGGGGCCTTGGGGACGCCCGGAGATGGACGTGGCGGCGGCCTCGCAGTCTGCGAGGACAGGGGGCGGGAACTTGAGCTCCCCACCCGGAGTTCCTGCGCTCGGACACCCCCCTTTCCCCCCCGGAGGTTGTGGAGTGCCGGTTAAGTAAAGGCCCGGTGCTTTTACTCTCTTCCCCGGCGGCTGTTAGACGCCTCCGTGCTCATTAGGACTGGATGGTTCCGACCCACGAAGGTCGGACTGTTTGAGAGGCAGGTAGACAGGCTTAGGAAGAAGCAGGTGGTAGAAATGCCTCATCCCAGTCAGCTGGCTTTTGCCTCTTGGCTCCCTTTTTAACGGTTGGTTCTCTCCCCTCTCCCCCCCCCCCCCCCCCCACACACACACCGGAAGTAAGACAAGGCAAGGGGAGGGGGAAATCCACTTCTTAAGCTGTTGCCCTCCGGCTGAGATAGCACAGCAGGACCCTGGACCCTCCTGGACGCGTCCCTTACGAAGGCATCGAGGAGATGGTGTGGTTCAACGCTCAGCCTCTTCGGAGGGGAGACCGTGGGGTCAGATCTTGCTTCATTCTGTCACTTGTTTCGTGTTGTTGACCACAGATACTTGGCACCATGCCTCAGGCGCCTCTCGGTGTGTTCGTTTGTAAAAATAGGAGAAAGTACCCACCTCCTGCGGTGGTTGCAAGAAGTGCCTGCTGTGCATACTCTGTAATGTAGTATGGGGCAAGTAGCCCGGGGCTGGTGCAATGTTAATATTGTTTGTATTCCCGCTTTACAGGTGAGGAACTGAGGTGTAATGAAGTTAAGAGAGAAAAGCCAAAGTTGTCTAAGATCACAGTTAGTGGCAGAGCAAAGGTTTCCGATCTACAGCTTTCGGCTTTAAATACAACATTTCAAAAGAGTATTTTTTAAAAATATTTTTTATTTATTTTTTACAGAGAGGAAGAAGAGGGATAGAGAGCTAGAAACATCAATGAGAGAGAAACATCGACCAGTTGCCTCCTGCACACCCCCTACTGGGGATGTGCCCGCAACCAAGGTACATGCCCTTGACAGGAATCGAACCTGGGACCCTTCAGTCCGCAGGCTGACGCTCTATCCACTGAGCCAAGCCAGTTTCGGCAAAAGAGTATTTTTTTTTAAATGTGTGATAATAGGAAGGGAATTGAGATTATACATATATATATATAGCAACATATATCTTTATGTGTGTATTTAAAGAATTTTTTCAATTACAGTTGAGATATATAATTAAAAACATAGATAATTTGCACCATCACTCACCCCAGCATTCTATTGTTCACTTTTGTTAGACTTACTTTGATTATGTCATTTTTAATAAATCTATTTAGTGGAAGCACCAGGTTATAATGGAAAGTCATGAGAAATGACTTCTAGTGGTAGGTTTCCATTAATTATCTATATGATTTTGTCATTTCTTGTTCTAATAATCTATACTACTTTATGAAATTACTCAGTTCAAGTATTATATGCTTACAGTACATATTCTGGAGAAAAAAAACTCATTTAGATAATTACTATAAGAAGCTTAAGTTTTTAGGCTTTCAAACATTCCCAAGTACTATGGAAACTGCTTGGAGATAAAGTTTTATTTTAATCTTATTTCAATAATAGTGCATTATCAAGTTTTAATTTTGATTCTTCATACTTCATCACATTAAATAAAATCATTTTTGTGAAACCTGCATAATTTACTATATATTAAATTGCTTATAAATTAATATGTCTACATATGCCGAGACCAGTTTGGCTCAATGGATAGAGCGTTGGCTTGGGTACTGAAGGGTCCTGGTTTCGATTCCGGTCAAGGGCATGTACCTTGGTTGCGGGCATATCCCCGGTAGGGGGTGTGCAAGAGGCAGCTGATCGATGACTCTCTCTCATCGATGTTTCTAACTCTCTATCCCTCTCCCTTCCTCTCTGTACAAAATCAATAAAATATATTTTTAAAAAATATGTCTACATACATTTTTTCATGGCTTTTTAAAAAAATATATTTTTTATTGATTTTGTACAGAGAGGAAGGGAGAGAGATAGAGAGCTAGAAACATCGATGAGAGAGAAACACCGACCAGCTGCCTCTTGCACACCCCCTACCGGGGATGTGCCCGCAACCAACGTACATGCCCCTGACCGGAATCGAACCTGGGGCCTTTCAGTCCGCAGACCGACGTTCTACCACTGAGCCAAACCGGTTTCGGCTTTTCATGACTTTTTTATTGACACTTTGGAGTGGAGTTTCCCATATGTAGTAAAATTAGATATGTGTGTGTGTGTTTTTAATCCTAAAGTTTCTATTTTATCTATTTATTACACATATTATGCTTTGGTAGATAACCATCTAATTCTGTAAATATTGTTTCTTACTTTCCTTCTCTCGTTATATTTCTCTGAAATTTAAGTATAACTCTATCTTCTGACTTATTATCTTATTTTAAAAATTTTCCATTGTACCTCAGCAAAGAAAAAAATAGATGAGGGGGATAGAGCAACATATCAATGATTGCTGGGGCTGAATGATCATGGGGCTTCATTATATTATATATATGTTTAAATATTTTTTCATAATAAAAAGGTTTTTAAAGGTATGCATTCTTCTCTTTCCAAATTTAATTTAAAAGATTTCTTGATTGGTTTCATGATTCAGACATATTCCTGGTTTTGTAAACACTGGTTTTTTAAAGCAAAGGTCTAAAAACCAATTTCTGTTCTCATCTCCTTTTTTTCTAGTTAGATGTTCATTTCCCATAGCCTTGTTTCTCTTTAGAAGTCACAATTTTATTTGGAAGAAGAGATTTAAAGCCCTCACATCCTTAATTCCTTCAGTTTTCTTCCCAGGAATTGAGAGTCATAGAAATATGTTCTATGTATTGGTCCTAGAGTTTAGTTTGATTAGGCTATAATAGGGAGGGTGCATCTTTGGTATTTTAAGTATTTAATCAATTCCCCTAGAGTCCTTCAGGTTATCCAAAAGCGTCATTTAGTGGGCGGCCTCAGGAAGAAATCTGGGCAGGCAGATGGAATATTACAGGAATGTGGAAACAAGACAATAAATAGTGGTGATGGACATCAGGGAACCGAAACAATGAGTGGGTGTTTAGCAAGTTGGCAAAGTAGTGAAGGCAGTTAGTGGATGGCAGCCATTTTAGAAATGAAAAGAGAAATAGGTTTCAAGGCCATGATTAAAGGCCCTAGGAAAATAGAAGCCTCAGGGACGGTAATCTTAGAGAAACTTTGTTACCTTGCATGGTAACAAAGGCAGAATATCTGATTTTTGAAAATGGATGTTAAGAGAGATTAGATTCCTAGGAACAAGGAAAAAGTACAGTTACTAGGGATGGTTTATAAAATGAGAATTGGACAGCAACGTGGCTGACTTGGTTCTGAGCCTTTGACTCCTAGACTCCTTACATATCCCCTTCCCAGCAACAGTATTGGTTTTGTTTGTTTGTTTGTTTGTTTGTTTGTTTTTCAGGACTAATTCTGGCTATGAAGCTGGAGAAATGTGTGTACTTTGGGCTGGGTGGGTAATTGTACTAAGTTTCTTCAAGCAGCAGCCTTTGTTCACATGTGACTTATTGTTCAGTGGATATTAGTTGGTAAGTTTGGGTCTGAAGGCTCTTTATAAATATTTGGATCCACGTTCCAGAAAGATTGCTGGACGTAATAATATCTGTGACAGGATCATAGCTAATCTGGCAGCCCTAGCAGTAAGTTATCAAATATTCCAATTTTCTTCTCCAGTGTAGAACTGTCAAATTCTCCCCCATCTTTTTTTTTTTTTTTTTAATATATTTTATTGATTTTGTACAGATAGGAAGGGAAAGAGATAGAGAGTTAGAAACATCGATGAGAGAGAGTCATCGATCAGCTGCCTCTTGCCCACAACCAAGGTACATGCCCTTGACCGGAATCGAACCCGGGACCCTTCAGTCCCCAAGCCGACGCTCTATCCATTGAGCCAAACCGGTTTCGGCTCCCCCATCTTTTTTAATGTTTAGGTGGCATCAGTACCATGGTTTACCTGGGCCTGAAGGGTTTCTGAGATATGGAAGCTTCAGTGCTAAGGCTGGGAAAGTTTCAAGCAAACTAGAATGATTAGTATTTATACCTCTTCTATAACTAGCTAACAGCACTGTTTTCTGTGTTATTTGAGTCTTTATACCTCTTCTATAACTAGCTAACATAGCACTGTTTTCTGTGTTATTTGAGACTATTTGCTGATACTACAACTGTGAATTGAATGTTGTACTTAAACTAAAATTTTAATGCATTCTGTAAATATGAATCCATGCCAGAAAATATATGGTCTCAGTTAAATAATATGTCCACAATAAGTTTCCAACTAAAATTTATGTTTGAAAGTGTTTGTTTGTTTTTAACCAGAGTTATGATAAATTCAAGAAATTCTTTAGCAAAGGAATGTTTTTATTTATTTAACATAAAGGGATATTTAATAACTTTAAAGGCAATTTATTTTCAATAAAACCTGCTAAACTAGCTACTGGTGAGTGAATTAACTGACTTAA